GACTTATACCATCAAATCACTAAATACTATGGAATATGACGATTACCACCACCACACCATGACACTGTATAGTACAGTATATAAACCATGTGACAAAACCAGAATGAATACACATTGAATAATAATATAATAGTGCAGATGATGAATAAGAAAGTTCACCATCCACTGATACCGTACAGGTTCTTATGTAACAAAGCAAAGAGCTACACTGATAGTTGGGTTACTCTCATGAATAATGAATCCTGCCACTAAAATATCAAGCCTAACAACACTGGTGAGCTGTCATGGATTATTCAACGTGCTGAGATCTCACAGTTCATGAAAATAATCACCTTGAACACAGGTAACAAATTATTTTTTTTAAATTTGTGCTGTTTACCACCCTCTTTGAAAGATTTTCCTGGTTTAGTAATTTTGAAACAAAGGAAGAAAGCCAAATCTTTCTAAATGTAATTCTTATATGCAGGATACAATCCCAGCTTACTGACTTTTCATTAGTTCATAACAATGTGAGAACAGGTCACTCAAAAACCTTACTCAATTCAGACTATGGTGGCAATGTCTCTTATCACAACATAAGCCTCGCCCCCTCAGGATCACACTAGGGAGTGAGGAGGAGAAATGGCAAGTTATTCGGCAGGCAAAAAACTTAGCAAGGAGCGAGGCATTTCGGGATGTATTTATTCACCCAGACCGCACGGTAATGCAGAGGGAACAGCACAAGAAGCACCTGCAGGACTTCAAGCAGAAGAGGGAGGAGTCGAGGAGGAACGGGGACAGGTGTACATGGGTTATACTCAGGGGGAGGGTAGTGGAAACAAGTGTGCCGACACAGGACCAGGGGGCAGCAGTGCACCCTCCACCCACTCAACCCCCCACCCGGGAGGCGGCACCAGCTCAGCCTACCGGACAGGAGGGAACGAGCGCCGTGTAAACAATGACATTTCTAACCACACCCTGCAAAATACAGTGTACTTAGCAAATGCTGCAGCTTCTGAGAATGTGGGTGGAGCGGGTTTATTACTAAGAGCAGAGACGTTACCGAGAACAAATTCTGGCTTGAATGTCATGTACACTAATACTGACACGTTCCTTGATAAGAGGGAGGAGTTTGAAACACTACTAAGAGTACACCAACCAGATATTGTAGGAGTTGTAGAACTGTTGTACAAGAACAGGAGAATCGACCCAGAGGAATGTGAGTTCAGTATTGCTGGATATGACTCATTTACGAACCTAACTCAAGAATCCTGCAGGAGGGGTGTGGTTATCTACGCTAGGCAAGACCTTAGAGCCAGCCAGGCGAGGGTACAGGGAGAGGATGTTTTTGAAGAGTCCAAGTGGTGTAAAATTAAATTAAAGGGAGGGGACTTACTTATCGTCGGGTGTATCTACAGATCCCCAAACTGTGGCCCACTAAATCAAAGGAACTTAAGAACCTTAATAAACAATGCGGCGATGCTCAACCCCAGCCACCTCCTTATCATGGGGGACTTTAACTATGGCGACATCGACTGGAGAAACGAGTCCACCCCGAATGACTTGAATAATCCTGCTACTCTTTTTGTAGAAACTCTGAGAGATAATTTTCTGTTCCAACATGTGAGAGACCCGACACATTACAGAGGGGAGCAAACACCCAAGCCACTTGACCTCATCATAACAAACGAGGAGGGTATGGTGGCCAAACTGGAACACCTTGCCCCAGTTGGCACCAGTCACCATACAGTGTTGTCATTCAGATTTAACTGTTACCTAGTTCAAGATAAGGCCAGGCCAAGGTGCAAATATTACAAGGGAAATTACAATGGGATGAGGGAAGAGATGAGGGGTATCAACTGGCCTGACTTATTAAGGTACAAGAACGCAGACACTACGCTGAATATCATAACTAGTAAAATGACCCATTTGATCGATAAATATATACCCAAGACCAAACCCAGTGCTTCTAGGAATACGAGGGGATCCCTACACATGAACCATGCGGCGGTCGACAAAATTAAGAAGAAAACCCAGAAATTCAAGACGTGGGTTGGGTCAAACGATGAGCAAGACAGGAGGATGTATGCAAGAGCCAGAAACCAAGCAAAGATAGAGTGTAGGAGGGCTGAAAAGGAGTTCCAAAGGCTGGTTGCACGCGAGGTCAAGTCAAACCCAAAGGCGTTTTACCGCTATGCAAAGTCGAAATTGAAAACGCGAGTAGGAGTATCAGACCTGAGGCTTGAAGATGGTAGTTACGCAGATTCTGACCAGGATAAAGCTGAGGCATTGAACAGCTTCTTTTCCTCAGTGTTCACAAGAGAGGATGCAACTAATCTTCCTGCGTTTGAGGACAGACGGTTCGACACAGCACTGACCCACATTGTGTTCACAGAAGAGGGTATTAGAAATAAACTGTCCAGGCTAAAGGTCCACAAGAGTCCCGGACCTGACATGGTGCATCCTAGAGTGCTAAGAGAGCTGTGCAACGAGCTTGCAGAGCCCCTGAAGATTCTGTTTTGTAAATGCCTGGATGAACAAATGGTCCCCAGTGAATGGAAAGTGGCTTATGTGAGTCCTATCTTCAAGAAGGGCGATAGTCACTCCACGAACAACTATAGACCGGTGAGCCTGACCAGCATAATATGTAAAGTACTTGAGAGTATTATCAGAGATGCCGCGATGGAACATCTACTACGAAACAACCTTGTAAAAGATTGCCAACACGGTTTTATGCCGGGGCGCTCTTGCTTAACACAATTGCTCAAGGTATTGGATATTTGGACCCATATTCTAGAACGGGGTGGTAATATCGACAATATTTACCTAGATTTTGCCAAGGCTTTCGACAGTGTACCCCACGAAAGGCTGAAAATCAAACTGGAAGCGTACGGAATTCGGGGAAATGTCCTTGCGTGGATAGAAGACTTTCTACATGACCGCAAGCATGTGTGGTGATTAATGGCACGAAATCGTCATCTGTACCTGTAACAAGTGGGGTACCGCAGGGTAGTGTATTGGGCCCGCTGTTGTTTGTTTGTTTCATAAATGACATGCCTGACGTTGTACACTCCTCCATGCTTGCCGATGATGGCAAGTTATTTCGGGAAATTAAGAACCAAGCGGACTGTGAAGAGCTGCAGAAGGACCTCTGTGGGCTCCAGGAATGGTCGAAGAAATGGCTGCTGAGATTCAATGTCACGAAGGTAAGAGGATGCACCTGGGGCGTACCAACAGTAAGGAAGCGTATCATATGTCCCAACGGGATGAAGAAAATGCACTAGTTGAGACTGTGTGAGAAGGACCTAGGTGTGTATGTTGACAATGAGCTGAAGTTCTCGGGCCATTGTGAGAAGAAGGTAAATCAGGCAAATAAATTATTGGGTCTTATTAGAAGGTCGTTCAGATATCTAGACGGTCCGTCCCTCGTGACGATCTTCAGGAGTGAAGTGCTTCCCCATCTGGAGTACTGTCACCCCATCTGGTCCCCGAGATATGCTAGGGACCACCGGGGTTGGTTGAAAATGTTCAAAGGAGGGCTTACCAACTGGTGTCAGCACTTCGGCACCACAGGCTACCTGGAGAGATTGGAGCCTGAACTTGCTCTAGCGAGGCCTACAGGACGGTGGGGGGACCTCTAGTTTGAGGTGAGGGCATTCTAGGGGGTACCACTAGTTGAGTGTCTTTATTTGGAGTTGGCGGATGCCTGGCTGGTGGGGTCACAGCTCAAGATTGAAGAAGCCGAATCCAGAAACCGTGAGGGCAAACTTTTTTCGAGTGAGGGTTGTAAACTCTTGGAACAATCTACCAGAGAGTGTTGTGATGGCACCGAATGTGAGCTCTTTCAAGAGAAGACTTGACCAACACTGGAGCGGGTTCAGGTACATTCAGGAGCCGGTGCATGCCCAGTATTTGCCAACAGTGCGTGACAGAGACGTGACCGATCGCCTGGGCGGCTAGCGAGCCGATCTTTTGGTGAAGAATATAAATGAAAAGAGACGTGACCGATCGCCCAAGCGGCTAACAAGCCGATCAGTGGCGAAGAGGATAAAAGTAAAAGTAAAAGTAGTTCATGTAATTTACTGACCAACTTTCCACCCTGCACATTATGACCCAAATCCAAGGTGACCATGAATATGAGGTCAAAGTCACCAAAATTTAATACTTTTCATATGGTATCAAGATTTCTACATGCTAAATTAAGTCTGGTTCTGATTAACAGCTTGTGTGTGGTGGGCAATGGATATGACAGTACTGTAAAGATGTGATAAAAAAAATATAATAATAATAATAATAATAGTAATAATAATAATAATAATAATAATAATAATAATAATAATAATAATAACTGATCTTTTCTTTCTCAAAAGGGCAATTTCTTCTAAAGAATTCACTAGCACTCGAAATATTGTATACAGGTACTAGATACCCAGTAGACAAGGCCCTGAGAGAAAAAAGAAAAGAAAAGATAAACAGTGACAGTTCATATATCTTTAAGTTGTAAAATTTCTCAACCCTGAACAGTACAGTATATAAAATTATCAAATATTCACAAAACACTTTTTGATAGAACACAATGAACAGCAATGGAAGTACAGTACTTAATCATAATGGGATATGACGACAAGTCTTCTAGGTATCTTATGAAGTATCGGGCAAGCTTAAAATACCTGTGTTTAATACATGTCAGAAATAATGCAGTAATTCTCTACTTACTTCCTGATCATCTTGGTTAAATCACTCTGAGCTGGATAATAAATCTACAGTGCACAGGAAATGTAAACACAACATTCTTAACTACACTACTGAGCAACAACATGCTTATTTATTAAAAGTACAGTACTGTACAGGTATCTCAACTCAACAACAACTAAAAGTACAGTTCAGTACAGTACAGTAAGTAAACTATGAACTAAAGCTTCCTACAACTATACTGTAACACAAAATACAGACTTTAGTACATGCATTTTGTTTGAGTTACTAATTATTAATACCCACATGCCCCAGCTCCATGTACTCACCCATGGTTGCAGGTGAGGTTGTGCCTGTAGCATTGACGTCAAGTGAGCAGGAGCCTATGCTGTCGACAGAGGTAGTTTGTGTTTGAAGGGGCTGATACATTTGTGGTGGAAGTGATGGTAGTAGTGGTGGAGGCAGTGGGTGGGGTGGCGGCCCAATGGTTGCCGTCCACCCCGCTCTGCAGTGGCCGCGGTTGGGCAAGTTAAGCGTATGAGGCCGTTGAACAGAGGCGGTGGGCCGTGTGCTGCAGGGGGCAGGTTAGTAAAACAATTAACCCCAAACTAGATGTAGTTATATGCAACTAAAACCAGCACCTCTAGTATACTGTAGCCCTAATACTATTTCTAAATACTATAGCCTATCTGTTACTTCTTAGTAATAACTATGCAAAAGCAACAAAGCTCCCACAATACATTTTCATAATTTACTCATAAGCAGAAAGCAATAATCAAGATTAAATATTTGTGTATAGAAATAACAAAAATGGAGGATTGAGTCTGAAATCCTATTTTATAGAGTAGTCTTTCTAAGAGATGCTCTATTATGGTATTCCCCTTCCACTACATGACCAGAATGTGTTGTCTTTCCTTCATGGTGTAATCTACCTCAACTTCATGTCACTATTATCTAATCTACTTCACTTCACTGTTACCAAATCTACTTCAGTTACCTAATCTACTTCCCTTCACTGTTGCCTAATCTACTTCCGTTATCTAATCTACTTCTCTTCAATGTTATGTAATCTACTTCACTGTTACTTAACCTATTTCATTGTTCCCCAATATACTTCACTTAATCTACTTCCCCTCACTGTTACCTAATCTACCTATACTTCCCTTCAGTTATCTCTACTTCCTTCAGTTTCTCTACTCTTACTTCATTTAATTGTTATCTACATTATCTACACTACTTCCTATTCAACCTTCCCACCTCAATTACTTACTTCCCTTCTCTGTTGTCTACATTATCTATACTACATCCCTTCACTTATCTACATTTCTTCCCTCCTATCTAGCATAATTCCCTTCTATTACCTTGTCCACCTTCTCGATTTCCTCTTTATCTCCTCAGTCTTGCCTTCCCTTTTATATTGTTCCTATGTCTTCATTTATTCGCCCTTCTTTCCTGTCACACTGTATTCCTTCCCTTTCCATCAACTTTTAATACATAGTTTCAACAACTTTCCAATACGGGGTAATTCCCCATTCCCTTCATTCTCAAATTGCCTCTTGATTCACACCTCTGCCCTTCATATTTCTCCTCCCCCTTTTATATCCATTATCTTTTCTCCTTCCCTTCCTCTTATGATTATCTCCCTCCCTCATGTTATAATGTCATCTGGTCACAACCCTTCCGTCTACCGCCTCTCCTTCATCTGCTCCGTCTACCTTCCACAAACAACTTGTTGAGCTTTCTACTTGTGTTAAATCAAATTACTGTACACTACTGCTCCCAACAACTTAAGATAGGTGAAAAGCATGCGATATATTATATAGGCCGACATAAAAATTACGTCCAAAAGAAGTAAAATACATCTAGTTTCTTAAAAATCACTTAAAAGGAGGTATCATTTCCGGAGCGGGGGAGGCTGGGTGAACGGGCGGAAGGTGGCCCTGGAGGTGGGCGGAACGAGTAAACTGTTTTTGAATGTCTGTAATATCCTGCTAGTGGAGTCCTAATGAATACCTGTCATTGATCTTACCTGTCATGTAACGTAGTACCCACGAACCAAAAAACAGTGGTCAACGCGCGTAAGACCTCAAAACACGCACGTGTATCGCCACAATGTCAACAACACCATTGATTCCTTTCACTGACCGGCCGGTGCTGCTCTCTGGCGCCCACACACTTCACTACCTCACGCCCGCCACATTTGATTACCATATCTTTTTACTTCTCACAAAAATAATGTAGAATGAGATACATTACATAAAAAATATACCAATCATTATTTATGTAATTGAATGAAATACTGTACTGTACAGGAGAAACAAGGAAGACAGTAATGTTTGGCATTGGACATTTCAGCTATCCGAGCTTAGTTATGATCCATTTTAAAAAGTTTGTTTTATTTTATCGTGTTAAAAATATTGATATAGGATTATGAGAATCGTAACACCTCCCCAAGTACGACCTTATCTACATAAATTCTTTGCCACACTCAAAAGTCAAAACACTTGTGAAATAATTCAGTTGATTTATCATTAACCACAAGAATTCTAGACAAAGACATGGGTCAATATATACATATTTCAATATTCATCTTCATAGGACCAGCATAAGTATGGCTTAAGGTGTTTCATATTAACAGTTTAATCATAACTACTCAGCAACTTTGGTGAATTGTGATCATGAGTCATATTTGGTGTATTATTGCTGTCTATATAAATAATTATACTAATATAAATGGAAATAAGCCTTTAACGACTTTCTTGTGTTTCCCTTGGTTTAATCTATTTACTGCTGGGCATCATTTGTATACCTGCACTATTTACAATTAACAGTACAACTAAGTTCAAAATGCATCAACCATGACTGACTCCTTCCTAGCTTTACAATTTTCTGGACCTGCCGTTTACGATTGATCAGAAAAGTAACTAAAATAATAGAACCAATCCTTCAGTGCAGGGTGTTCCAATTCCTAGTAGAATCAAGTGCGAGCAGTACAGACCGATATGTTTGATATCATTTGTAGAAAATTATTGGCAGCAATGATTGCAGGTTCAATTTGTAACCACCCTGGGAAAGATAAAATTGAAAATGACTCAACTTGGTTTAGCAGAAAACGTTCATGTCTGGCAAATTAACTCTTAACTTAATTTTCCAAGTGTTTTTGAGGCAGTTAACAGTGGTAATGATCATTATGATGTAATATGACCTCGACCTTAACAAAGCTTTTGGCAAAATCTCACACGATATATCAATAAGAGAAGTTGAGGCACATGGTATAGGGGCAAAATTCTAAACCCAATTTGGGCAAAGGTAACGGATAGGAAACGGAGGATCAATATTAACGGTGCAAAATTTGAATGGGCAGAAGTTACGAGTGGTGTATCCCAAGGCTCGGTCCTCTACTATGTATTATATACAGTACGTAACTGATATTGATACTGCCATTAACACTAATGTAATTAAATCTGCTGAGGTCACAGAAATAGGATGTATTTTAGATTCAGGTGAACACGCGAGGGGACTGCGCGAAGTTCTAAATAAGCATTTTGTGTGTGCTGAACATTGGCAAATGTAGTTTAACGTGGAGAAATTGTAAGTTCTAAGTCGGGAAAAAAGAAGTAGTGAAGTTGAAGGTACATTATCAACCTATGTTCATGACAATTTTGCGAATTAATACAAATTGTTTATAAGCACCTACACACTGCACCCAGCTTATTAGTCTATTCGTTTTTAACCAGCTTCACACCGCACCCAGCTCCTCTGTTCCAGCTGGCACTCACACACCCCCTCCCCTGCCCACATCCCTTAATCAAATTATGCATCGTTTCTTCTACCAGACGTATACTGTACCACCACTACAACAGAGGAGTTAACATACCTCCCCTTACTGTGCGCTGCGATGTAATTCCATTAACGACTTTTCAAATATTATTTTTGTTTCATATACCCTATTTACTCAAATAAAAAAGTGCCAAGCGCCAAAAAGAAATTCAAATTTGACATAAGCTCAAAGTTTTCTGTTATCTTGGATTACTTTTTCAGATAAAGTTTATTCATTTACTCGTTAATTTTTTTTTAGAAATAAATGTAAAAAGAGTACTTAAATTACGACTCCCAAAAAATGCTATGTATTATCGTACTGATAACAGTTACTTTTCGTTAGTCTGCATAAAACAAACATCACCATTTTATGAGAAAATTTGTCTCGATATTAAAGATACAATAATAACTGGAGAACCCACATGCCCAGAGCGTGGGGGGAGGGAAGGGAAGGGCGGGGTGGGGTGGAGGGGGGAGGGGGGTAGCTATTGTCCGATGAATAAAAATAAATTGGCTTCACCATTTTCTAATAAAGATTTCGATCATTGCAACCACCTGATAATCACGCTCGTTCACTGATATAAACGGCTAACTATTACTAACTTATGCCTATCCAAAATACTCATTAATCCTTATCTGGAGGTGGAAATCTGGTTACCCCCTTATAAAATTATCAGTCCATCTTTGAATATACAGCTTGCTTCAACCTATGTGTTAGTAAGTAATTCCTGTGAAAACCTCGGTGTAGCCCTCCATTGTTGTCATTATTGATGCCATGCAAATACTCCAAAAGGGTTTTTTACATTACTATTTTTCTACTTAATATCCCTTATACGCATCACAATAGGAATTTCATTATTTGCTTAAATTGAGACCAACCACCAGAAGGTTAAATGGAATTAGTAAGTTTGGAGATGTTCAGGAGGCAGGCGGGGGCGAGCCAAGACAAAATATTGAGGGTACAAATATGATGATGATGATGATGATGATAACATGAAGTTAAGGAGTAATTCCAAGGATAAATTAGTCTGGTTGATCAATGCGTCATGCACGTCTCACTAAGAAAAAGTGAGGTGTTGTGGTTGTTCAACCAGTTCTCGCTCCGCTGCTCCGGCCACTAACCTTTACTCAGTGAGGGGGGAGGGGGGGGGGTGGTGGACAGGCAGACCCCCCTGGAAGAACACACCAACTTACAGGGAGGTACTTACTGGGTGGAGTGAAGGTGGTGGCCAGATATACGGGTGTGGAAGAGGTGAACAAAAGGGTATGGCCTACGTGGAGGTCAGGTATACAAAAGTGGAAGGTGTGGTACCTGAGGGAGGCATGACCCAGGTGGTGGTGGTGGTTGAAACTCACCTGGTGTGTAGAGGGATGAGGGTGGTGGTCATGTCCGCCTTGGCCCGTGAGTCCAACTGTGGGAGAAAGAACAGAGGTTGTATTGTGATCACGTGTTAATATCTACCGTCATACCGTCAACACCACAATCAACACAAGACAGTCACCGTGTACACAGGTGTGGTTGGCACAATCATGCACTATACTGTATGTAAATACACCACACACCCAAAGTTTCACTTACGCGAGTCACATAAACTTTCAAAGTAAAACAGTAAATCCTGTAAAGTATTACAAAGTATGGGCTTTCAGTAAGGAATCCCTCAGATAATGAAGGTGTTCATTTTTATGCAATAGAGGTACGGACAAAGAGCAAACTATGGAACATGAAGTGAAATTTTATTAATTTCGTTCCAGGCAATAAGAAATCTAATTGAACTGATCCTAGACTATGAATCTGTCTTAGTACCAGCAGCTACGGGCCAAAGTAGAATGGCATTTGAGATAAGTAATGCAAATACATTCGAAGTTTCAAGATATGAGGAAGGGCTACAGAAATTATTATCAACGTATTGTAGTAATTGGCTGAAGTGAGCGTAGATATAATTGCAAAAAAAATGTAATATCAAGGCAACAAACAATGACACATGATATGAACATGATAAATGAAACCAGGAGAGGTCGACTCAGACGGATTAGTAAAACCTTGCCACATTCTGTGGTTGCTAAGCGACAATTGACGTAAGAAAACATTAGCAATCGAACTTAAAAGGGTAGATTGGGGTCATTATTTTCGTTCTCTTATGGTCATTATCCAAATTTTGTAGTGTAGTGGAGTCAAAATGGCTAAGTTTTCCACGGTCAAATATTAGTACACATGGAATTTCAGAAATGAAACCGATACCACCAGACAGTAGAACTCACATTCTAAACTGATTTACATTTGAAATGAATGAGTAAAAGGGAGTTGCCATGATGGGGTCATGGGTGCTGGAGCTGCTCAGACACTCTCATGGTATATCAAATTTGGCATTACTTCTTCAGCAGCTGCCTGCCTGGTGTAATGAAGTGGAACGAATGGGAAAGATAGGTCTTAGACATTTAATATGTGTGGAATAAATAATATGTTCTTTTAATGCATATAAAAGATGAAGCGAAGTAGCATTATTCATTAAACTCAACATTCCTGTCTGTATTTATATTATTACCAGGGCAACGACATGAAAGAAACTAACTTCGGTGTTTGTTTTGATATTTCTGAACAAATAGTTTGCTTCTAAATTTCCGTCTGAAACATCCGAGGCTGAGTGAGGGAGTTGGGCGGAGGGTGACACTGTGCCTCCGCGCCACACACATGGATAACCCCGCTGGCCATTTCACTAATCACCTGCCCATCATCTGATTACACACCTGCATGATCACCTGCCTAGCATGTAGCCAAACGACCATTAGGGCTGACTGTACGAGGCATCACACCTACGTTTTCATGACTAATGCTGAACTGGACACATTTATATTATCTCATATCAACAAACCACACGCACTACTTATCATTAACCTGATTTTCTCGTGACTACTACTGCAGTTTACAACACACCATCCACATAATTATATCAATACGAGCTCCCCCTGATTACTGGATTACACGACACAACCCTCACACAATTACACCACCATCTCATAACAACATGAATGCAGACACAAGCCCAGAACAAGCAGTGAAGAAGTTATGCAAAGAAGAGCCGTTTCCAACGTGTTGTGATGGCCAGTCATATACCGATTTTATCATTTCGGGTGTGTTGAGTTCTCCCGGCCTCGGTTCCTTCCTTAACTCTCTCACATATCTTGATAGGTTTATACTGAGGTGGACGTTGCTTTGTATTTCTGCACAAGGAAAATTTACAATAAATGACTATAATACTTAGTGAAGGAGGAAACTTCTACTGTAATTCCTCAAATGTATTTTCGTATCACACGTTTGCTTTTTCACTTTACTGTAACCGGTCTTTTCTAAACTGTTACCCCCCCTCCCGTAGCCAACACCACTACCCAGGTACTCACTCACACATTGCTATGACGGACATACTAAGTAAAGAAGTATAGGTATCTGTTACCGCAAGCAGCAATGAGTAGGATGACACATAAACAAACATTATGTTAGGCTGTAAGTCATGTCATGTTTATTGGGTGTGTCTGCCCGTATACAGTATGGAGAGTACGAAGATAGTGGAGATGAGAGGCCCAGAAGGAGGTTGGCGCGTGTGAAGGGAGCTTGTTTATGTATAATTATAATCACCTGACTCAACCATAGCTGACCAGCCAGGGGGCCAGGCTATAGGGTGGGCATTTCAGTATAGCTACCCATATCTTAGAGTCAACACCTACCCTGGCTTCTCTTTAGACTTTCAACACGTAAGTTTAACTAGTACTTATTATGTACACAGGTAGACTGTGTCCATTGCAACATTTTATCAGTGTGACAATTGAGAAATATGGCAAATTGAGTACTCATTGTAAGTGTAGTGTTAAGATTAGACAAATTACATAGCCATGATTGTTATGTAAATATATATTGGATTAAACATTTATGTAGGAGTGCCTATGTATGACTTATTTGAAAAACTAAATGAATTGTATTCAACAGGTTTGACCGAATTATAATGTTTGTGTCCAACGTCACGAGTCTAAATATCCTTTAACCGCCTGACTGGCGGTTACAGTATCCATAAGACAACCCTCGTCGTTACCATTGATATGGTCTACCTTAAAGAACACAACACACACACACACACACACACACACACATACCCACTTGATTTTTGACACGTCACACACAAACCTTCCTGGTAACAATCCAAAAGTTGTTTATAAACATCGAGACAAATTTATGTACAATTGATAACATGAGAGACTGAGCCGGACGACTGTTGGGCAGACTCACCATACACTACCTAACGGCCCTAACCTGCCTGATTTTGATTCTCAGAACAGTGTAAGCTTAACTACAGTAGTGTTTTCATTCTTATTATTATTATTAATAATATAATTCTTTTTTATCATTATGTATATACTGTGACAACGTTAGGAGCACCTGTCAGCCATAAATTGTAATGAGGAATGCAGGGTGGCTAATGGTGTCAGGGAAAATTAGCGGAAAATTTGTAGGTATTCTCTCTCTCTCTCTCTCTCTAACACACACACACACACACGCGCGCGCGCGCACACACACACACACACACACACACACACACACACACAAATATTACGAATAGCAGCATATGGTTCAATTCTGGTGGCTAGTGACTTTTGTATCCTGTGAATAAAATACCACATTACAAACATGGAATACACGAAAGTATGAAAACTTTGGTTCATCAACATTTAAACGCGAAACAACATACCATTACCAAATAAAGTACAAGAGAGGGAGAGAGAGAGAAAGTGAGAGAGAGAGTGTGTGTGTGTGTGTGTGTGTGTGTGTGTGTGTGTGTGTGTGTGTGTGTGTGCTTCCTCATATCTAAATTCTCACATCATCACAAAGGACCCTACAGTATGTATCCCTTACCACCTATGTAAACAGGACAGAGGCGCCCCTGTACGAACCGTCAAGGGCACCTCACCTACACCACCTACTCACCTAGGATCATTAACATGCCAACACTACCACCTATACTTGTCCTAGCACCACCTACAGGTTTGCCACCACACCTCACAACGCCTCTCACCTGCATAACTAGATCTATCGTGCCTACATGATATTTGCAAGGTTATGTTACCTACAAGCACACACCTACAAGGACATACCAGCTGCATCCACACACCTGCAGGGTCACACCACCTACAAGAACACAGGGACACACGCACATGCCAACAAGGACATACCTACAAGCACACACCTGCAAGGACAGAGCAAAGTTACATTAGATGATAACAATGAACACTCTCTCTCTCTCTCTCCACCCACACATCTCTACTTCCTCCTGGTGACACTAGGGAACCTACAGTGAGGGAGGCGGTACTATCACCGCGATGTCACTATCAGCTCATACTTTTCACTGCCATTGCTGCACTTTTCACACTTTTCAGATTGTCACTGTCACTTTCTCTTCTCTAAGACTGTCCTTGTCATTTCCTTCTCTCACGCTGCCACTGTTCCTTCCCTCAGACTATCACTGTTGCAACCCTGTAATCCTGTTTCGCGAATAAGAAATCTTTAATATTAAGTTCAGCTTGACGAGACAAACAACGACAAGCACTGAAACAGGACGTGGGTGGTGGAGACCTTCATATCTGTACGTGCACTATTTCGCCCCACACTTAAAAAAAAAATAAATAAAACACACACCAGGACATTTCACAAAACAAGTACCGAAACGACTTTTTATTGTGGAGGTTAAAGGGAGGCACGTGGCAGTAGTGTGTCATTTAAATGATAGGTAAACAGACGAGTTTGCCGTGTCTCCTTTTATGCCAAACAAGATTGTTGGAGCCAGACTCCCCTCCTCCTCCACTACCTGCTCTCATCTGTCCACCTGTCCCTCTCACCACGAGAAACACTGCCACACTGTTTGATTTGCTGTTAGAATAATCTCACGATATGGATGTGTTACGTAAAGACTCTGATATTCTATTTATCATTAGTATCGGTATATCGCTGGGGTTGAGTGGAGGAGCGGTGTTCGGTGTTGTCAGGTGGCAGCCCCTCCCAGCTGGTCTGACCACTGCCTCCCGCGCGCCACACGTCACCAGTATTTACAGCCAACACGCTCCTCACACACCTCTCGTGTCCCCACATACAGTATATCTGCACAGTTCATGTACAAATATTGCATCACAACAATGTGAATGGATGACGTAAGCGTCTTCATATAACAATGTTGTCACACTGTTTTCTTTACCAGTCTTGTACACTGTGGACTCTGTAATTATTTGTAAATCAAAAATATCATACTATTGTGAGAGATAATGAATATATAAGCAAACTTCCTACTATTGTTGACATATTCCACTATCAGTTGAGGATCTTACTTGCTGACAGAAAAGACCTCGGTGGTGCTGTTTCTTCTGCACGGTGATG